GGTCGCATCTCCGGTTCTTCCTGACGCTGAGGTCTCCTCGTGTGACACTTCGGATATAAATATTACTCGTCATGAACCCCCTGGCTGCCGCCAACATTCACAGCAGCATGGTGGTGCTATCTTTCACATACTTTCTCCCACGATCGACATTTTTTTGGCTCAAAACCGCAAATGACATTCCATTTTGAATTATGAGCCATGCCTTAGGAGTTTTTTCCCATTATCTGCTCTTTTTGCTCAGTTACACCTGCTGGCTCGTGTTACCTGACATCACCACATGTGAGTGTATTACTTGAAAGAAACGAGTAGTCGCCTACAATTATGTAAACGACTTCCTTGAAATGTTCGGCTGTGCCAATGCATTTCTCAACTACTATGTACCAATAGGGAGTCGAAAGGCGTTTGCCTATATTTCCCTCGATAAACTTGACTTGATTTGACTTGAACAGTAAACCACTAAGGAAAAGCGCTGGACATAATCATTTTCATCTGAAGAAAGGAATGCACTTTAGAATTGAAAAAAAAAACTAATAAAAAAACAGTACCATTCTCCACGCGGACAAAGGAGGTTTAACTGTGATTAAGAACGAATGACGCTAGAATCGGAAGATGTTGTCCGTATTAGACGATAGCTCAACCCATAGGACTCTTTGCACAGACCCTACTAAGGGGCAGATTTCATTTACTGGCAAAGTGCAGAAGCATCTTAAAGGGACGAAAAAAATATGAGAGATTTTGCAAAATCCTTGTGACAATGCGAATCAACCACCGCCAAGACCTATCGAATACCCAAAGTGCATAACCTGAAGTTCCGCTGCGACCATTAATCGCTGCATCAAATTACAGGACCTCGAAGTTGCTATTCCGTCAACTCCAACCACTAATGAATGATTAGGAAAATTCCAATTCAGAAGTTTTTCGCGAAATTGAGAGGAATCACGATCTGTGACGATTAGATAAGGGTCTCTTTGTTCACATCAATACTACTAGATTGAATAAGGTAATGCACATACGAAATGTCAAAGTCGCATAAGTCACAGCTTCGAAAGCTGCCTTTCTTGAAGTCGTAGCCATTTTGTTAGAAACCAACTCTTCTTTTGACCAGCAATACCACCAACAACTAAAGGGAGCCCCAATGGACTCAAATAAATCCGGCATTCTTGTCTAAATGACAATGCAGAAACTGAAATCTACAGCTCTCCCATTAGATAACCCTAAGTTGTGAGTTATACATAGAAGAGAAAAAATATTCGGCGCGAAAACTAAATGACTATCGACTTTTTAAAAAAGTTCGAAATTTGAACTATATTTTGCACGCTTGTTCAAGTATAACATTGGCCTGGGGAACCAGTGTCGAGATTTTATTCAATAAAGCTTCCTTCCTTTTCCAAAGAACCTAGGTGTCTTCACGTATATATGCAGAATAACAGTAGCGGCAAAAATATGTGAGACTGGAATGGCTATTTATGGCTTATTAGCCGTCGTCAGCCAGTCAT